AGGATACCTGATGCAGAATGGCAAGGAGTACGGTATACACACTGCTCTGCTTGCCTCCATGCTTCTAGGAGGCTCTTCGATTCCGCGAGCCATTAAAACCCGTAAACCGCTTCCGAGCACCTTGTCTGTGTTGTCGATCCTGTCCACTGTGTACTATACACGCAAGTACACAGAGTTCTACATGTAACACTCTGCTGATCTGATACCTGTGGTGTTTGCCCACTGTCCCTATACACCCGGGAACTTACTTACCCTGCGAATCTCGTCACTTTCGTGATTGTTTCTTTTGAGAAATGGTGACTGCCATTTAGATGTTTCTCTGTAAATATGTGCGTCGGTATTCGAGCTATAATTTTGATCGGATATCAAAGCAATGTATAAAATCTGCCACCTTTGTTCATCCTTCGATATTTGATGTTCAGCCTTATCCGTCGCGATCGCCCGTCCAGCATGCAATCAATCTGAAGGACCCACTGCAGAAACCGTCCGTCTCGCGAGATTCTGGCAAGGCAGGCTCCAATCCGACGATCGCCGCATGGATTGAGAATGAACTTAAACTAGGCCGTATAAGCGAATCCAACAGCGAATGGGACTCCGGCATAAACGTACCATCTGAGGGAACGTCCCCTCTGTTTGACTACAGAAAACTCGATCTGCTAATAGATCCGCCAACTAGTTCGTATCCGCCTATCCATGCTGTTCTCCGAACAATTCCACCTTCTAAAATATTTGCTAAACTCGTCATTGACATGGAAAAATCGGCCTTGCCAATATTACAGTCCTCGAGAGAGCTTACGGCCTTTTCGGTAAGCGGCCGCTCCTTCGTCCATAACGTGCTTCCAGTCGGATTTCCTCATACGCTGAATACCGTGGAAAAACTGATGAAAGTAGTCGTATCGAATCATAATGCTTTTGCCAGATCAAGGTATCTCTATGTCGTGATCTTCTCGAAGAATGCCAAGGAACACATCGCGAACATTCAGTCTCTTGCTGAGAGCTTCAGACTACACGGCATCGCTTTGAAACAAAACGGTACCTACTGGGCAGCTCCTTCTATTGCTTTAGAAGGATTCACGCTTTCTGAGCAAGGGTTCAGAGCTAATCCTGATAAACTTGACGTCATTGCTCACTTTCCAATTCCTGCGAAAAACAACTTGACTCAATGGCGCAGATACTGGAGCATTGTACAATATGTCGCGGCTGGGTACCCCGAATACCAGCTTATGACTGCTCCGGTGTCGGAATTGATCCAAAAACTGCCGACACTGCCAAAGAAACCAACATCAAAACAGAAAGTCGAGTTCGATAAGCTTTATAGCGCTGCCCGCAAGTCATTTGAGCAGATTAGGCAATCTGTCCGAAATCTACCATACGTTCGTTCACCTAATCCAAACCGCGTGTTTTATGTAAACACAGACGCCTCGCAGTTTGGATACGGTGCCGTTCTTTTTCAATCTAAGGCACTTAAAGACTCGTTGCAGCCCAAAGACAACAGTCTCTTTGCCATTGCATTTATCTCAAAACCTATGCCTACGTCTTCCTGGAAACGCTCGACTAATGAGTATTGGGAACATGAAGCTATCCGACTAGCATTGTCGGAGTGGCGCGAGATGATTCAAGGCTCTCGCATTATACTTAGAACCGATTACGGTAACGTCCCTACGTGGTTCAGCAATTTAAAGAGTGTTCATCCCAAACTTCTAGGGGATTTGGCTATCCTGAACGAGTTTGATATAACAATTCAGTTTCAGTCAGGGCAAAACAACAAAGTAGCCGACCTTCTTTCGCGGCTTGTTGGGTCCAGAATGCTGGAACGGCCAAATGGTACTGCTACTATCAAACCGACGTGCTATCCATTCCATACTTGGGACGTCGACATAAGGCAGATTTGCACAAAAGATATGAGCTGGTTTGTGCTATTTGCGTTTGAGCGAGTATCGAGACTGTGCGTTTACTTGAGAATTGACAGTTCAAACGACTGGAAGGACATTGTTCCGGTAATTGTACGACATTATCCTGCGCCTAAAGAGGTTAATTTCACCCAGAATATTACGCCTCGGTCGCAAGAGGTTGAGAAGAAGAAGGATGCAAGGGCCAAAATAGTTGAAACGCTCTCTGGAGGTAGCGCGGCAAGACCACAAGGAGAAACTGACATGTTGAACCATAAACTTTACAAACAGATCAAAGTTACGCACAAATATAGAGATGCGGATCTGGCAGATATCACTGACAAATTAGCCAGCAATGTCCAGGCACAGGTACAGTTTGCTGGATCTATAGATGACGCGCTGCTGCTGGCAACTAACGCTTACAACAACAGACCCGTACAAGGACAATCGCCGCTATCCAGCGCATTTACGAAGTTGAAATGATATTAAAACAATGAAGAGCACAATAAACTGCACGGTTCAGGCGGCTTTGGTGGACCGCCCGCGACGGCCATAGGCGCGAACCAGCTGTCCCACCCAATCACCGACCGCCAACGCCTAATCTCTGCTTTAACCACACACACACCAACCACCATTCAGCGGATTTTCTCCTTTGTTTACTAACTAACAATGAAGATGCGGTCGCTAATTGGTGGAATTCTAGCATTAAGCGGTGTAGTTGAATCGTCTTTTATTGGATTTTATCCTGGACTCAGTGAGTCAAAGACTGTTTCGGGCAAGAGCGGCGTCAGCGCATTAGGCGAGTTCCTGGGCAAAAGCGAAAGTCTGTATACGGACGAGCTTCAAGATGTTTTGAATGCAGAATTTGTAGGAATGCCGTTTTCAGGGAAGAAATCGAAACTAATAGTCACCGTCAATGACTGTCCTAACGCCAAAGAGCTTGCATGGACTGGATCTTACGGTCTAGCCATCGAACAGGGCACCGATTTTGATAAGTCAGTCTTAAAATCGATAGAGAATATGGGTCTATATTATGAATACAGTGACTCCAATGGGCAAATCCTTGCTTCTTTTCCATTAGACAACGACAAGGACTCTTTTGATTCCGTTCTTGAAGGAGCTTTATTAAGCCTATATACCCGCACAAGCTCTCTTCTCGTTGTGCGCGCAAACTCGCCGAACGTTATGCATAAGCCTTCAGAATGGATTCGTCAGGTGGTTACCCAATACGAAAACGTCGCCTTGGCGTTCATCGGCCTTGACCAGACTTGGTCGCAGCCGACAAAACGCTCTAACGAGTACGCCATAGAGGTCGAAGAAGCTAATGCCGCAGATACTTCCGACTATCTTGAGTTCGAAGAAGAAGTTCAGGAAGCTGAGGCAGAGCAAAACTACTGGATAGCGAACACTAATGCCGAACAGCCTATAACTCCTCTGCAATTAGCGTCTAGTTGGTGTTTTGGTACTCAATCTGACTGCAACGCAGGAACTGCCAACTGCAGCGGCCATGGTTCTTGCACTTTCATTGGCACCTGCTGGAAATGTGCCTGCTCTTCTTCATACAATGCCACATCCAGGCAACGAACTTACTGGGCAGGAAACGCTTGTCAGAAAATCGATTATGCCCCACAATTCGCGCTCTTCGTCACCGTAGGCGTTATCACCGTCGTCGCCCTAGTTTTTGCTCTTGGTATCTTTACTTCGCTGAACTCCGAAGAGCTCCCGGGCGTGCTGGCCGCCGCGTCTTACATGGCCAAAACATCTTAACTTTTATATCAACTTTTTTTTTTAGTCAGTTTGTGTCGTTTCGACCCCTGCTAGACTTCTATTCCTACGCAAGGTATTTCGCCTTGTCTCGCCTGTCCCTCTCACCCATCCCAATTTTTTACCCCCACCAAATAACCAGCTAAATTCCCTATACGCTGCCACAAACAAACCCATGTCGCTTCTAGTTACTCGAAAATCTAATAATTTAAACTCTCTAGAAATAAATGACTCCGACGACTACAAAAACAATGCAGTAGTGACGCCTGGTGAGGTGGTCACCGAGGAAGTCACCTGGATGAAGGGTCATGGCACATTCACTGATAGCCGTGGGATCAAGGCCTCATTGGCCGGCACAGTTACTCGAGTGAATAAACTTATCAGTGTGCGGCCCTTGAAGGGCAGGTACCAGCCAGAAGTCGGAGATCATGTCATAGGAAGGGTCTTAGAAGTTGGTCTTAAACGCTGGAAAATCGAAATCGGTGCAGCTCAAGCAGGCACTTTAATGCTTGGATCGATAAATCTTCCAGGCGGTATTTTACGGCGTAAATCTGAGTCTGACGAGATTCAAATGAGGGAACTACTAAAAGAAGGCGATTTGTTCAATGCAGAAGTACAGGGCGTATTCGGACATGGCACAGTCCATCTACACACGCGATCTTTAAAATATGGCAAACTAAGAAATGGGTTCCTAGTAGTTGTGCCCTCACAGCTTATAGTTCGAAGCAGATCATATTCACATATTCTACAGTCTGGTGTCAATATGCTTGTTGGAATAAACGGTATGATCTGGCTCTCAAAACAGACTGAAGAGCCCTCCGCAGTAGATACCCCGGCAATTACTCGTTTAGAAGAAGAAACTCAATGGTCTATATATTCCGATGAAAATGAATTTATTCCTCCTATCACGCGATCGTCAATCGCCCGTTATGCCTGCTGCATAAAAGCTCTGGCCGCCTTTGAAGCTCCCATCTCTGATTCAACAGTAAACGCCGCGTACGAGGCTAGTTTACAATACCAATCAGAAACTCTTATGAATCCAGAAATCCAGAACAATATCGCTATAATGGCCTTAAAGAGTTCTTGATTGTCCATTCGAACGGTTAGATACAAGCAGAATACTAGCGCTTATGACTGTCTACGTTTCCCTTTGGCTTTCTTCCTCATGTTGCACTCTATAATACTGATTCTATGAATAATGATTTAATAAAAATACACATTCTAACAAATACCTATTAAATACAAGAGTAATCTATTAACTTGAAAATCATGATTTAATCATACATACTTCTGAGCACATAAGTATGTACGATTTTCAGTATATGTCTTACTGAGAAGCTTGGGTTAGGGCTTTTAGTATAGTGGTAGTATGCCTGCTTCGGGTTAAGCGAAGCTCAGTTGCGGCAGACCGTAATTGCAGGTGACCCCGGATCAAACCCGGGAAAGCCCCAAGTCATTTTTTTTAATTTAGTTAATAAATTAAATTGCCCACTGTATATATCAACAGCATTATGTATGAATACTGACTGGAATGGTGTGTAGGTTGTAGAGTGGTTGAAACTAAGCCAAGATAAGGGACGAAACGATGCGAGGCTGGCCCTTCTTCGATAACAAAACATCCGGTAAAGTGTTTTGATTAGTAAAGTATGAAGATATAAACTCATCAGATGTAAGGTCATTGATGACTGGATTTGTTGATTTAGAGAATGCACTATCTGCTAAACGTTCTAGCAAACTGGCGAGTTCTTTCGCTGCGAGATCTTCCTGAGCAAAGTTCCGTAATTGACCTGAAATCCGATGTAATGCATGAGCAATTTCATTCTCACGTGTTTCTTCGTCGTTTTGAGAGAGAATAAGACATAATAAAACACCGCAACTGAAGAAGAAATAGTGCAAGAATATTGCAGATATGCTATGGCCAATCACTTTCAGGATACGAGGGTAGTCAACTAGATCGGAAGCCAACATTGCCGTACTTTTGCAGCGAAGAATACTGATCTTTCTGAATGCCTCTAGTTCATTGATCTCTAGGTTTTGTACTGCCGCATCTCTGATAGCAGCCTTCGATATAGCCAAATGTGGTGCAAGTAAACTGAACAGCAAGTAGTTATAGAGGAATCGAAGATTGACCGTTTGCAATTTTTTGTAAACGCTTTCAACAGAATCATTTGCCTCTATTTCTCTAAGATTATCGAATCTCAATGATTCTGGAAGGAGCTCAGGGAATCGGCCAAACTGTGAGTACACCTCTTCTACCTTGTCTCTTAGCGAAAGCAATCTGGTCAACGAGGAGTTGGTCTCTTTTTTTATTTCGGTAATTCTTCCAGCAAACTGATACAGCTTGCTGCGATATATATGATACTGCATAAAATTGCATTCTGAGCTGTTAGCTCTGATACATTCTGCGTCATTTGCTGCGGATGCACCGAAAAGTGCTGCCAGGCCGTGATTCCAGCTGCTATTCCGAGAAACATGGTAAAACTCAGTGTATGTGTACATGGTTTGCCATTGTCGTCGGCAACACTCTTTTTCCAGAGGAGAGGGCGTTTTATGCATCACTTCATTCAGCTTCATCTGTGTAGCCATTTCCACTGCTACCTGCATGGTTTCCCAGCAACTCTGAGACCTGCAGTAGTTGATCTGGTATGTGAAATATAGAAGAACAAAAGCAATTCTGTGAATAGTTGCTGGGAGCTGCAAAATCTTTTCGTAGTACCTTTCTGCGAAACTCGCCAGTTCTGATATCATTCTTTTCTCTTCGCTTTCAGTATTACTTGTCCCGCAAGTGTATGATTCTATAGCCTGTGCTACCAGCAGCATAATTGCAATACAAGCTGCGTAATCTTCCCTGTCGCTCCGTACCTGCCATGTCTTCAAGATATATTCGAGGTCTTCTTCGTACAGCTCCTTGACGGTCACCAAGATGTACCATTGTGTGCGCTGGAAGTAGGCGTCGAACATGTTACGTAAGACTCTCGAATCCTTTGGCAACTTATTACAGTTTAAGAAAGTTTCCAAAGGCACGCTTTCGCCATCGTCTTCACTGCGGCAGTACGTATTCGGATCGTCGGCAGGCGATGCAACATCCGATGACTCAGGACTCGACGCAATAGAAAGCAGGAACGAACTCAATGAGCTCGGAGTGAGTGTTGAGCCTGATCCTGGAATCGAGTTTACGGTATCTGCAGGGGGATTAACAGGGAACTGATTAATGCAGATTTTGAGAGGAAAAGGTTTTGGTTGAATGAACTGTCGCTGTGGCGCGACGGTGAATGGAATGGTATCGATATGCATAAGAAGATCAGGGCTTATACGTGGTCGGCCTCCTTTGCCATCGTACACTATTTTCTTCGAATTGACACATTCGCAACCGTTCCGAAGACAGTTAGAGCAAGGCGAGTAGTCATCGCATCGCAATTTGTGCATTCGGCACTTGTCGCAGGCGCTGATTGCTCTGCGGCGACGTACAGGGTACAGATTCGTGTCATTGTCGTCGAGCAATATAGTCTGCAAAGTGTTCTCTTTGTGCATTTGGTATCAGAGGTCCGCAATCGAGATTGTCGCTGAACTAGGAATGGTACAAGAACAGGAAGAGTAGAGAACTTGGTGGGTTTGTTTCAGATAACAGCCAATTGAACGTTCTACTTCAGTATTCGGCTATGTAGATGAGATCAAAGTTTCTAGATCGCACTCAATTGATACCCGACAGTCAGGTAACTTGAAACTTGGACGCGAATCGGTATACTGGAGCTACGTTTACCCCGCAATATTTCTGGTAGGGAACAGCCAATAATAGGTCTATTTGCGTAATAGAGTTTGTGGACTGGATGTACTATAGGTACTAGCTCCAACTGCTACCTGCAACAAAACGGCTCTATGGCCGCTATGATGCTACTATTTGCGACGTCTAGTGCACGAAGAAAGTTAATATTAGTATATGTTTGAAAAATAACTGTGCTATTGATGTTGATAATCAGCTAGATGAAATTGGTCAAGGTACTCGAACCTATCGAGCTCTGATTGGTGTGAGCGATCGCGAGGCGAGTAGAGCTCGCGGTCTTGTTGCTACGAGAATGAAATTGCGGAATTGGCTTATTTAGGAAATCATATGCGTTCGCGTCTTCTTGGCGCCAACTGCCGGGAATAGCGGTGAATCGCGCTGTCGCCTTGGAATGTCACCCTAGCTGCGAATGGCTATCCTGAATGGGTTCGATTCGTGCTATTGGTTTAGCAATCTCTCCTTCTGTCCGTGTATCGCGCTATTTTAACGGTACGGCCAGCGGTCTACCGGATAAACTAAGGTCTAATAAAGTTCACTGATTAGTGGGGGGGCTGTCATATCAAGTCGCCTAATCGGTGGTCCCTCGATAATCGACCAGCAAATTATGACGATACGATGAATGCCTCGGTCTCTCTGTACTATTTTACTATAGATCGATGTATTCAGCGATGATCATCGGAAGCTGGAGAGAACGGACGACTCGCAAGGCTGCAAGGTTTCGCAGGGCTCAGTGAGGGCAGCAACTACACTAGACAGAATTGTAGTGCACGAGCCAAGAAAAGCGGGGTATGGTTTGTCAACCCGTTCAGGAAACTGAGATCTGTACCCCCACACTATAATCTCCCTTCTCTAGGACGGTTTGAGAGATTTGACTCGGCGCTGGTTTCGGCATACAATAGGCATTCTGCCCCTCTCAGAGCATGCATAAATATATATATATATAGCTCCTTACGACTTTGTCAAACGCAGAAATCAGCTACAATGTCAGAATCAATCGCTGAATACGATGCTATAGTTATAGGCGCCGGATTCGGCGGCTGCTACTTGGTCCACCACCTCCGCAAGATGGGCTACAAGGTTCACGGATACGACGCTGGCAGCGAATTCGGCGGCACATGGCACCATAACCAGTATCCGGGCGCTCGTGTCGACTCTCACGCACCATTCTACGAACTCACTATCCCAGAAGTCTACGAATCATGGAACTGGAGTAGAAACTACCCGAACTGGCAGGAACTGCAGTCCTACTTCCGCCACATGGATAGCAAGCTCAACTTGAGGAAAGACTACACTTTTAACACCTGGCTCACAGACGCTATTTTCAATGAAAAGACGAACAGATGGGACCTCAAGTTTAAAAACGGTGATCGTGCTACTTGTCGTTTCTTTATCCCTTCTCTTGGTCTGTCGGCGGCACCTATGACCCCGAACTACAAAGGACTCAACGACAAATTCAAGGGCGAAGTGTACCACACTAGCAGATGGCCCAAGAAAACAGTTAACATGGAAGACAAGAATGTTGTTGTCATTGGAACAGGTGCTTCTGGCTTGCAATGCATCCAAGAAATATCCCCAGTCGTCAAGAACCTCTATGTCTTCCAGCGATCTCCTTGTTTCGCGCTGCCGATGCCTCAGGAAGACCTGTCTGACTACTCCTACGCCAATAGACGCAAGAATTACGAAGGCTGGTACAAGAACCGTGCTCAAGGGTTCAGCGGATTCAATATTCCCAAATCTAGTCGCAAAGGAACTGACGATACTCCTGAACAGAAAAAGCAGTTCTTCGATGAAGTCTGGGCTAAGAAAGGTTTCTATTTCTGGGTAGCCAACTACTCTGATCTCTTTTTCAACAAGGAAACAAATGACGCCGCATACGCTTACTGGCGTGCTAGCATCCACAAGCGTGTTCATGATAAAGAAAAGGCTGAGAAACTCGCTCCTAAAGTAGCACCTTACCCCTTCGGATGCAAGCGCCCTAGTTTAGAGACTCATTACTACGAACAGTACAATCGTCCTAACGTCCATCTGTTCGATATCAAGGAAGAGCCAATTATCGAGTTCACAGAAGACTCTGTTATCACTAAAAGTGGTGCTAAGAAAGTCGATATGGTCATTACAGCTACCGGATTTGATGCTCTTACGGGTCCGTATACTCGCATCAACATCCAGGGCCGCAATGGACGCACTTTGAAAGACAAATGGTTCGAAGAAGGTGCAACTACATATCTTGGTATTACAACTTATGGGTTCCCTAACATGTTCTTTATTGGTGGTCCCCAGAGTCCTATTATTTTTACCAACAATCCTTCGTGCTTGCAAGCTCAAGCTGATGTGGTCTTTGACGTCATGAAGAACATGGATGCCCAAGGAATCGACACTATTGAGCCTATCCTCGACAACGAAACTGCTTACGCCAAGCAGGTTCGCGATGTCGGAGACAACTCTCTGTTTATGCAAGCAAAGGGATGGTACATTGGCGCAAATGTACCGGGCAAACGCGAAGAACTCCTCTCTTGGCTGGGAGGTCTCGAGGCATACAATGAGCTCTTGGAAGACATGAAACAGTTCAATGGATTTAAAGTTAACAAAGCTATTTGTGCCAATTAAGTGAATAGAATATTAGATACTGCTTTTTGATTATTATTCTAAACACAGCCTCCAATCATTCA